TGCCACAGCCAATGGCAGGGATGTAACAAATGCAAAAATCCAGTTTTGTGAAACTTTTCATGGCAACAATAGAAGTTAAAGAGCAGAAGCAAATTTCAGGTCTTCCCAACCTGTGTCCGTTTTGCAGATCAATGGGAATGACGACGGGCACCCGGCTCCTGCCGACAGGCCTGGGCACACACCCCAAAAGGGGGACCACCCACGTACAGGTCTGCCTGCCTCTCTCCTCCTCCCGCCCCCTGCAGTGCCCTCCTGGAGATCAACCAACTCCCCAGGAGCTTTCTGCTACTGTCTAGTTCCTCCCTCCATTCCACACCTCTGCTCCAGGCACGTGCGCCCGTCAGTCCTGGGGCTGCACACACAAGAGCACAGGTCTGGAACGGGGAGGAGGGGCACCCCGCACCCCGTGGCTTGCACTAGTCCTTACAGTTCGGCACAATGGCTCTTAGCACCCCCGGTGCGAACTGCTCCAGCCCCCGAAGCACACACGCAGCTCGCCCGGCCACCTACCTTGCTGCCAGGCTTTGGGCCCCTCTTTTTGGGGAATTTCAGAGGCTCCACAGACTTGGCCGGGGCAGGGATGGGGTGATGGATTGTGGCCTTGGGTGTTCGGCCGCGCTTCTTACTTGACTTGCGACGCTTTTGCCCAGGTTGGGCCCCCAGAGCAGCCTTTATGCTGCTGTGCAGACTGGGCTTCTCGGCACTCCCTTCGGAGAGCGGAAAGGGGCTCTTTGGAATCCCAGCTGCAGACGAGAGACGGGGAAGGGTCAGCACGTCCCCAAGGCACGAGTGTTCACGCACAGGGCGTGGAGCAGAACAGGAGGCTTGTCTGGAAACACTGGTGCCCCCAGGGAGCAGCCATGTGCCCTGCCCACCACTGCAACCCCTCCCAGGCCAGGGCTACAGCCCGAAGGCCCTTCTCCTAAACCAAGGGGCAGTCTGGCTTACCGCAGGTGGACTGCTCAATTTGCATAAACACATCAGAGCGGCCACACGGGGTCAGACCAAAGGCCCATCCAGCCCCGTGGCCTGTCTGCCCACAGTGGCCAAGGCCAGTGTCCCAGAGGGAGGGATCACAACAGGGAATCCTCACGTGATCCCTCCCTGTCACCCATTCCCAGCTTCTTGCAACAGAGGCCAGGAATATTTCAGAGCATGGTTTTGCCTCCCCGCCCATCAGCCACCCATGAGCTTATCTAATTATTTTTGAACTAGTAGTCTTGGCCTTCACAACATCCTATAGCAAGGAGTTCCACAGGTTCACTGGGCATTATGTGAAGCACTTCCTTTTGTGCATTTTACACCTGCTGCCTAATCGTTTCATTTGGTGACCCCTAGTTTGTGCTTTGTGAAGGAGTAAATAACTTTTCCTTATTTACTTTCTCCTCACCGGCATGATTTCATAGACCTCTATCATATGCCCCTTAGTCAACTCTTTTCCAAGCTGAAAAGGCTCATGCTTATTACTCTCTCCTCATTCATACACTGCTCCAAACCCCTATTCATTTTTGTTGCCTTCTTCTGAACTTTTTCCAATGCCAATCGATCTTTTTTGAGACTGGGAGACTGCATCTGTACGCAGTATTCAAGACGTGGGTGTGCAATGGATTTCTAGAGAGGCAATAAGATATTCTCTGTCTTATTCTCTACCCCTTCTTTAATGATTCCTAACATCCTGTTTGCTGTTCTGACTGCCGCTGCTCATTGAGTGGATGTTGTCAGAGAACTATCCACAAAGACTCCAAGAGCTCTCTCTTGAGTTGTAACAGTAATTTAGTTCCCAGCATTTTATGCTTATAGTCAGGATTATATTTTCCAATAGGTCTCACTTTGTATTTATGAACATTGACTTTCATTTGCCATTTTGCTGCCTAGTCACCCAGTTTTGTGAGACCTGTGATGTAGTGAGGGGTACCTTGCTGGTTGCTATGCTGGGCAGTAGGTTGTGAGTGACCTCCGCTGGCTGTAGCATGGCCCAGCAGGGCAGGGGATGAGTCATTATGCAAAGGGGTCTCTCAACCTGTCTGACCAACTACCCCCCAGGGAGAGAAACAAAGGAAGGTGGATGCCGCCCTGGCTGGGGGGCAGGGCTGGAAAAGAGTTTGTTAGTTTCTGTCTGGGAAGCAGGGCAGAAGGAGCTAGGGAGGGGGCGGGGGTTGTAGGGCCCAGCCACCCCCCCATCTCAAGGGGGGGCACTGAGGCCTCCTAGCCTCAGTTCCTGTAACCAGATTACATCTGGGCTGTATCCTGGAGAAGCAATAACCTCCCTCTATTCTACTGGCTGGTGGAGTCTGTTCGTGCCATTACGGGGGTGCAGGAGACGGGAAAACCCCAACGCGCCATCACAGACCCCTTTGTAGATCTTCCCAGTCTGTTTTGGACTGAACTATCTTGAGTAATTTTGTATCATCTGCATATTTAACAGCCATTTACCCCTTTTCCCAGTGTATGAAAATTGTGACTAGTACTGGCTGTGGTACAGCCACTGCGGGACCCCACTAGTTACCTCTCTCCCTTTATCTCTACCTGCTACTGCCCCATGAGAGGTCCTGCCTTCTTACCCCATGACCCCTTACTTTGCTTAAGAGCCTTTGCTGGGGGATCTTGGCAAAGGCTTTCTGGCAATCGAGGCACACTAGAGCCACACGCCCTCAAAGGAGCCTAGTAGACTGGTGAGGCAGGATTTCCCTTTACAGAAATGATGCTGACCCCGGGAAAACCTTCCCTGCGGCCCGTGCAGAATCGCATGCGAGAGAAGAGCTGGGGGAGGAGCCATCTCCTAGCGCACGAGGCTTAGCTGGCTTGTGTTGTTCATTCTGCCTCAGTCACGTCCTTTGATCTGCTGCTTTCACTTGCAATCACTTTAATCTGACTGTCTGTACCCAGTAAACCACTTCTGTTTATTATCAAGCCCAGTGTAAATAGCTGGGGGGAGGGGGGAGCAACCACTGCACACCGCTCTGTTTCTCTTTATGAGCCCTGTAGCCAGACACGAACCCCCTCTTGTCTCCCACCCCCCCCCCCCCCCCCCCCCCAGAG